AAAATATTCATTCTTCCGCTCATTCGGAAGAAAATTACGTCTTCTTCCAGTCCTATACTCAAAGGAAGGGTATATTTCTGTTTTCAAAAACTTCTCCAATTCCCGAGTAATTTTGAACCCGATCTACCGTCACACTTGGATTCGGGGTTTCCAAAATACGAGCCGTATATTTTCCGCGTACGGAAAACCACACATTTCTCTACGGTAATAAAGGGGGACTATATGGGGTTCATAAAATTTAGCAGTGGATTTGGTTCATATTGTTAACTTTACAAGCCACATTGGTAAATACAGAGACACGACGTTTTACGAACGGCCACTTCACGGTATTTAAAAGTCCCACAATTAGAAGCTTTTTTAAAACCGAATTGTCACTCTTTTGGGTATAAAATTAGATGACGTAGTTTTCTACCGAATGAGCAGAAGAATAAATATTTTTATGCATGTTTTCCATGAAATATAATTGGACTTTCATGGGCATCGAAAATCAATGAGAAAAATGCATGCCACTTAAGTAGTCATTTTTTACCAAGTGTAGTTCTTGCATGCAGTCGGAAAGAAGTTTGTTCGAAAGCAGCCATCCCGAGGTAAGCGATTATAGAATTATGCTGCGCCACGGTTAATTTTACAACCGTACTCAGTTAAGTAGTTAATCTTTTCGAAACGGAAACACATTTCAGGATTTCAGTTGACATTTCATGAGTTATCCCACCTACTGTATTTCAAATCACAGGGGAGCAGCGCTCACGGATCGATTCGGTCCCCCTCACCCTTGGATAATGAAATCCCACATACTTCAGGCGACCACTTCTTAGAGCTGCAGAACTGCTTATGAATGCCAAAAACTCGTTAATTGCAGGCACGACCACCCTGAGCCAGGTTGCTCCGAGGAATCGATCAGATCGCAGGATGCTTCTTCCAGGTGTGAATACTACTCTTCCTTATTATAGCAAAATACCTCGATTTTTCCGATTTGGCTGTTCAGTTGCTTTATCCTAAAAGCAGAATTTCGACAACTCAAGCAAGCATGCACCGTGTGCCGGGCTTTTTTAAATCGCCCCAGAAATTAATGCGCGAACTTGAAGGAAATGTTTCGGTCCAAACCCTTTCAGACTCGTTCCGGAAGTTATGAATATTTGAGCAGACATCCACAAGCGTCAGTGTAGTGATAGCGTAATGTTCACAAGCTACCAACCGGCAGTCTGTTGTGTACGAATGGTGAATTATTTACCATACTTGCAGCGCAGATACTGGCTAAAAACCACGGCACGTGATTTTTCGATTTCTTGCCGCTACACGATGGTTCGGTGGGTTCGGCTCATCGGTGAGTCCCTCATGCGCTTTCTGGTGTGTACTCTAGTTTTCAAAGTTAAGCTTGTTAATCTCCTTGGGGAGTACAGAGTGTTGGGCTCTCTACACTACCAGGCGTTAATAACATTGACAGTTTACTGGCTTTATGCACAATTCCAACCCAAAAAAGGGCTTGCTCACACCCTACAGACAGGATTGGTCGGCTACTTTTGTTGAAGTAAAACTTTCAAAATACCCCTCCACACAGGGTCTTTTTTCGGCGAATTCTTGCCGCGCAAGGTAATTGGAGTCGCATCACGACTGCTATCTGTTCTCGGTAACATTCGGGTCTCAACGCTCTATCATGTTACCGGCCTCTTTGGTTCGAAAACAGACCAGTACAACTGGACACGCTCAGTCGAGATATGTAGACTAGCAGCGAAAAAGGTCACAAGGTTAATCGTCTTAAATACAGCACACGCGATAGCTGACCGGACCAGAACAGCCAAAAGTAATCTCTGCTTAGTATTACAGATCAAGCGACATTCAGCGCTGTGTTGGTAACCTAAGTGAGTTAGAAAATCGTTAGCAGGAAGGGAAAACGGTAAAACCACCCCCACCCCTCACCAATTTCAATACTAACAGCGATAGGACTATTTCTAGTACTTGTTTGTGGGGAGAATTAACTTGACCAGGGTCACCATCAACGAAGAGTAACAAACGCACCGCACGGGTTGAATTGTTACGGCACAGAAGGAGTCGCATACAGGACTTTTCCGAGTAATTAGCCAGTCAAAATCACGGCATCGGCGTTGAGAGCGCCTTTGACGCATCCGACATGCCAGGAATAGGGAAAAATTCAGGGAGGGGGGGGAGGTAGGAATTGTTTTCCTTAGAGAACAAAACTACAAAAGCAGACTACCGTTTCGAAAATAGGTAGATACAAAAAGGTTTTGCTGAGTTAGCCGTAAGTAAACATCGTATAAATAAGCGGTCCTTCAGGGCGAGAACGAAGTGACGATAGTTGATTCCATAGCAAAGCCCGCTCGGTAGCGTGATTACGGTGTCTGGTTTCTTATCCTAGAATGATGTTTCTACGACTCGAGCAGAGGACCTACTGGGACTTTTCTGGGCCGCCGGAGGTCTAAAAAGAAATAAAAAGGGACACAAAAAATAAGGACAGAGAGTCTTCTATGAAAATCAAAAACACTCAAAAAAAATTCTAAAATGATGGAACTGTGCTTTCGAAGATGCATATAAAATTGCTGCGATTGAAGCTAAGAACAAAAACACTAACGTAACATTTTCCCTCCCCACACCTAAAATTATCGTCCAGATCTCCTGAACACGGCAACTCCCAGCAATGAGAATGGTATCAACAGCGCCAACCTCCAATCATGCTATTCCACACCGATGCACGCATTTCTAAACTGTGCATTTCCTCCCCAGCCCGGAATCCTTTGAGCACTGAATCCCACCCCGTTATTATGATTGAACTTCGTACCAAATCGACAAAAGCAAATACCTACAAGAGTAGATTCTCATTGCGTTGCCGGATAGAGTTACTACGTCTCTTTTTTTCAGTGGTTGACAATGATCGAATACGTAAGCCCACTTTATATTACTATAATATCTCAAGATATCTCGGTGGGCATGTTATATAAGGGTTAGGTCTACGGGTAAGTTTAAGAAAATGGTTTAGGTTGGGTTTAAGGTTGGAGGTAGGTCAGAGATTAGGGTTAAGGAAAGGGCTGGGAGTAAGTTTGCCCGCCGCATACTGTATTGCCAAATCCAGTCTTCTTTAACCGATAACCTTGAATCACCTGTGTCCCGCCAGTGCAAGTGCCCAAAGTTTGAACCTTTCGAACTGCGAGCTCAATTCCGACACCTCGTCGAAGTAATACAACAAACGTATTGCGGAAACGACGAGTTTCCTAACGCGTCACCTAAATTTCATTGATTGTCACGTCCATCCCCCGTCCATCCTTCCCGTAGTACAGGAGTTCCTGTGCTGTATTTTTCCGGCGGGTCTACATATCCAACCCTCGCCCAGCAGCTTTATGGCATACACTGCCGCCAGGCAAATGAGCAAGATGACCCCACTGGGGAGAGAAGACACGGTATCTTCGGAGGAAAAAAATCCCGCCGGAAACAAAACAGGCCGAGAATTGATTCCGGCCTGGGCCTCGGATGAGAACTCAACCAATCGATTTACCGATCTGGCGCCGGCGTACAGAGCCCGGCACAGTCACCCCCAGTCTTGCGCCGTCGGTCGGTGATTGGCCTACACACCCTAGAACTGTCGCTTGTTCTGGTGCTGCTACTATCTCAGACAATGGACCCCTCCTGTCCGAGTTCGAAAGCTCAGAACAATAAACAAAATATTCTGGTGCTCGACCACCCGTCTTCTTCTTACAGTACCTGTGCTAACTCATGAAATGCCGAGGTCAAAATTATAGTGGACAATGTAGTGTATTTTTGGTGTCGTTATTTGTGTTTATTTGGTTGAAATAAGGACGAAAAGACCGTTTTCTGAAGGAAAGTTTGATACGGATCTGTATATTAAATAGAAAACGGGCCGGATTAAGGCGAAATCGGAGGATTCCTGATATTCAAGCAGTTTCCTACGCTATTAAAGCTTTCGGATGGAAATTCTTTGTGTAACCTTATTAATCTGTTTAAGAAGATTAATAAAAGGACGAAATTTTTTGATAAACTTTCGAACAAAAAGAAAAAATTAAATTTCAATATTAGCAAAATCAGGGAAATGCAGATAAATTATTTCTTATTGTGTTCAGGAAATAACGTGCGATTCTTTATCTAAAAATTCTATTTTACAAATTCGTAAAGTTTTATGTTTCAAAATACCGAAATAAAAAAGTTTATCAGTGTGATTGTTTTACCAGACTGAAAATGCGTGTCGTAAACGAATATATATTGAGTTCGCGCGACATGCCGTCACTTTGCTCTGCCACGCCAAACGATAACTATGTCTAAACAATACTTATCCGAAGTTGACTTCCAGCGCATTCGAAAATTAGCGGCGGAAGGAATCCCGCGTGAGTCGTTAGCTAATATTTTCAATATTAGCAAGGTCACTCTGTGGCGCATTATTAATGATAAAACTGTTCCTAGAAATAAGATAGGGGGACCAAAACGGTCCACAAGTAAGCAAGACGACGATTTTATTCGTCGTACATTAAAAAAGTTTCATTACATGCCCATTGAGGCCATTCAGCGGGAACATCTGCCGATGTTTTCTATGAACATCATTAGAAAAAGGATGAAGGAATTTGAACTGCAGCGGCGGAAGGCCATGATTAAGCCATATTTAAGTAGAAAACTAATTAGAGAACGGCTTTTATTTGCTAAGAATTATATTGAATACAGATCTTCATTTTGGAAGAGCATTTTCTTCTGCGATGAGGTTCTATTTTTAGACAAGCCTACGAAGTCGCTCCAAACTGTCATATGTGGAAAGAACTTCCCAAGAGAACATACTACACCGACGGCAACATTCAAGAACTGTCGGCGGATGATGGTTTGGATGGCGATTAAATTCGGTGAGCGGCCTGTCTGGCGGTCAACATCCGACACCATCAACAGCAAGGTGTTCATTGCAATTGTCAAGGATGCTTTCGGCTACAACGGCATAAGTCGGCGCCGAATGGATACTGTAATTTTGCAGGACAATGCACCTGTCCACCGCTCTAAAGAGGTACGAATTTGATGNAAACCGCGAGTGCCTTCTCCTGAATCTCCTGGTTTAGACTCCTCACTGCCTCCAGGTCGCTCTCCGTGGCCTCCTCGGCCCTCTGGAGAGCCGTCTGGCAGAACTGACGCAGATTCTGCGACTCCTCGGTGGGCAACTGGGATCCAAAGGTGGTCAACTTGGAGAGGACATCACCAGCGAGGATCTTCACAGCCAGCTTGGCGTCCGCGAGGAGGCGGCGGCGTCGGTCAGTGTCTGCAGCCTCACTGGCGGAACGCAGCATGGCCTCGACGTCGCGTTGGGGCAGATTAGTGATGGCGTTGGTCACAAGGAGACGCTGAGCCTGACCCGTCTTCTGGTCGCGAGCTGAGACATTGAGGATGCCGTTGGCGTCAATGTCGAAGGAAACCTCAATGCGCGGAACACCACGCGGCAGGGGTGGAATGTCCATCTTTAAGGTGACATGTGCAAGGGAAAGGTGTTAATAGGCCGCTTGAAAAAAAACCCCGGAGCTAATTGAAAGGCCACCTTAAAACTGGACTAGGCAGCGTGTGAGTAATAAGAGAAAACAGTAAAAGTAGACCTTTTTAAACAAGCAGACGGTGAAGAAGAGGATAGGATAAGCAGAGGCAGACAGTATCAACCTAGGTAATATTGGGTACTAGTATTCTGCCTATATTACGCGCCGCGCTGCTCGAGGGAGAGAGTCCCAAGGTACAAATGGGACCGGTAAGTTCCGTAACGCGATCAGTGCGCGCACCTCTATCTTTGTGTCAACCTAGTCCGGCGGATGGGGAGGGGGTTGGGAAGAGCAGTGTCAATGTGGTGAGGGGAGGGAAGCGAGGAGAACTGCAAGCAGTTAGCAGGTTAACTGAAGTTTGGCCATGGTAAATGCGGGGTCTGCACGAAGTACTTCTGAGCGTAAAAAACCGGGGGAGATTAGTGATGGCGTTGATCACCAAGAGACTCTGAGCCTGACCCGTCTTCTGGTCGCGAGCTGAAACATAGAGGATGCCGTTGGCGTCAATGCCGAAGGAAACCCAATGCGCGGAAGACAACGATCGGATGAAGGACCCCAAACACACACGACCAGCCAAAACTGCTTGTCTTACGGGAAAGGTGGTAATAGGGGTTTTACGGGCGTGGACTATGTGTGGAATGGCAAAATAAGTATAGATAATTGGTAAATTCGTTTTTGGGACGGAAAAGTTTTAGTGCATTGACATAAAGCAACCGAGATTAAGCTGGAAAATTAAACAAAATAAACTCTAAGTGTCTACAACGATCGCTTCTCAACTATCTGAGCTGAGGTCATTGTAGATAATGCGCCAGACCATCTACAACAGACGACCCAACCTTGTACGATGAAACACCAGACCGAAATAATCGTGTTCGACTAAAACCCACTTAAATAAGTATAGTAGGTATTCTCTGTATACCACAGATGCTTGGGGGCCTTCACCCGATCCTTACCGCGCGGAACACCACGCGGCAAGGGCGGAATGTACATCTTTAAGGTGACATGTGCGAGGGAAAGGTGTTAATAGGCCGCTTGAAAAAAAAACCCCGGTGCCAATTGAAAGTCTACCTTAAAACTGGACTAGGTTGCAGATGAATAACTTCCGAGAACTCCTTACCAGGCCGGAACGTTCATACGGTAGCGTGGGAGTAATAAGAGAAAACGATACAAGTAGACCTTTTTTAAACAAGCAGACGGTGGGGAATATGAGAGAAACGGCAGAGGCAGATAGTATCAACCTAGGTAATGTTGGGTAATATTATTCTGCCTATATTGCGCGCCACGGTGCCCGAGAGAGAGCCCTAAGGTACAAATGGGACGAGCGAGTTCGGTAACGCGATTGGTGCGCGCACCTCTACCATAGCATCAGCCTAGTCCGGCGGATGGGGAGGGGGTTGGAAACAGCAGTGTTAATGGGGTGAGGGGAGGAAATCACAGATAACTGCAAGCAGTTGGCAGGTTAACTGATTTTCGACCATGGTAAATGCGGGGCCTGCACGAAGTGCTTCTGTGTGCACAAGACTGATTCGCATAACCTAACTGTGGCCGCTTCTGCTATTGTGAGTAGACGCTGTCGGTGGCTTTGGGTAATTAGATGGTACCCTGTAAATCATTCGCAGGGTTTCGTTGGTGTCAACGAGATTCCCAGAATCAAGAGAATGTGCAACAATGGCGCTGCTTGCGCTCCTAGCCTAGCCCTTTTCAGCCCTGCTGGGATGTGTTCACGTATCCCAGTCGACTCGTGCGACCAGCAAAACCTGCTCCACAGGAGCAAGGAGTAAGCGTACACAAAGGTGGTCGGAACTAGCAACCCATTCCTAAGAAGTAAGAGCAATCGCCTGACGTTTCGGATTCGCGCTTGAACCCATCATCAGAGACAGTGACAGAAACGGATGATTCGCGCACAGGAGGTTGCAGTGTGTATTGGATACAGTCGCTATGCAACCGCATACCTATGATAATTAACCGCTCTCCAATTCATCATGAATTGTTGTCCGCTGGTGTGCTTATGGCTTGGTAGCCGGCATGTAAGTTGTAAACTGCTGAAATCTCATCACCCGTGTTGGATGCTAGCGTGATGATGGCTCGGCCATTTGGTCCACCGGCCTGCGCGCTCCCCGAGTGGTTAATTATTTTTTCCAAACTATGCCTCAGCACGATATATGGAGTGAGGATGTCGTTGCACTTGTTGATAGACTGAGGTCCCGTTAACCATGACTCGAGCAAATCGAAGCTCACGCGATTAACATCTCTTGTGAGAATTTCGGCCTCATCGATCAAGAATGTGTGGCTGGGTCTCGTAGAATGGGCTGCGACCTGAGAGTTGGCGTCATGCCTCTGCACCGCTGCTGCGTGTTCGACGATTCGCGTTCAGAGTAGTCTTCCAGTTTCTCTGACATAGTTGATTTTCCCGCAACTGCACCAGATCCAGTAAACAACTCCAGATGTTTCTTGTCGTGGCAGTGGGTCTTTTGGTCGCATCACCTCTGACGCCTTATGGTGACCTCCGGTCTATGTACAACTCCAACCCCAAGTGGTGCGAGAAGGCGACTAACGGCCTCACCTTCACGCGACGTGTAGAATGGGTTTGGTAGAGAATAGTGCCCTTACCATTCCGCATGTTTCTCCCTTCCCCTTATCCGCCCCCAGCTTACACGGCCTTTCCACCACACACTACCCATCCTAGCCTGACTAGACGATACTGGCCGTACTCTCTTATTACCCTCCCATATTTTCCGCCTTCCATATGTTTGAAATGAACAGAACTCAATCTCCCCTAGTTGCCCACGCGTTTTAATTGACCCCGCTACCATACAAATGTACTGAAATGGCTTGGCAAGAAGCTATTGAAAGCAAGTGTCTGCTGGCCAAATAGTCTTCTGAATCCTTACATGGGAATCTTCGCAGCTGCAAATAAATTTCACTGTAAAGGTCAAAAAAGGATTGCCGACAATATCTGTTAGAAATGACGGTTTTTTGCAACAGTTCGTCCTTAGGGGTAAAGAAGGCAATCACCCTCAGTCAAACAACGCTCAGTTAATACTTCTGGGAAGAGTTCGCAAGACTTTGTAGCGAGAGGAGGGAGGGAGAGATTAACGTGGAAGGTTAGCGGGATCTGGAGAGAGCCCTAGGCATGTGCATGTGAAGAACGCACAGGCTAATCCTACCTTGTTCAAAGTACCGCTCGTCAGAAGTCCTTGACTACCCTGAGGCAAGGGCGCGTTCTTGAGAGCTGTCCTCCACTGGGTCTGCTTTTAGATTTTTAAACACGGGGTTCTACTCATTCCATAATAAGTTCTGCAATCTACATACGGTAAGTTCCGCCTATGGAACTGATTCCGATGTCGGCCAGTCGAACTCCAAAACCCAGATCTGGCGTGGTGTTAATTACTGGCCTGTACCAGTTATGAGGCTAAGTATTATTATTTAGTTGTTGACTTTCAGTCGAAAGCACAAAGAAATATTCGCCAATGTCTACTGGAAATCATGCGTGAGCCATAGTGGCCCTAAGCCGGCACCAGTCTACGGAGTACACTTTTTGGTATGGCATTGGGAGTTGTTACTGCTGACAGAAGAATCTCACCGGTACTTCGCGTGTATGCGAGCGCTTGTACTTGATACGGTTGCGATCATCCCTGATCTAGTCGACCTCGATGATGTCTCAAACTCCACTGCTCCATGCGGCGATGATCCGCGGCAGCTGGTCTGGCCAGTTTAACCCATTCTCTTCGCCAACGATGGAGGCCGAATACGAAAGATCCAAGACCCCCTCCCCTGTCTGGACGAACTGCGTCGGGTCGGGTGTGGCATTGACCCTCTTCGACGTCTCCAATAGTGTAACGGTGTCGGATCGACAGCAGTAACACTGAGCTCCTGAACAGGACGACGAAGAACATGCCCAAAATCACCTCAGTTGTCTTCCATGGATGGTCTGGGTTATTGCGATGTTTTCGCAGCGGGTGTGGACTGGCTCATTTGAGGCCAAGTCGGCGTACTTCGCTCGACGGATGGTCCTCATGCAGTGGTGATCAAATACCTCCAGTTTTTGCCCGTTCTCCACGCGTACAGTCACGTAAAAGTCGCGTGGGCCGATGTGGTACAGGGCGGGGTGTGAGTTGACTCCTGGCATCATTATCTCCCGACAGTCGGACTTCAGGAAGGTAGCAGACATCCACGTTGTACTGATAAAGGCTGGGCACGGTCACACTTAGGGTAAGAGGGTCCAGGAACGTTCGCATATTTCAGCATCAAATACCAGGAGTTCTTTTCCGAAAGATTTGCTCAGTTCGCATACTATCCGTCCGCACCACTGGACTAGGGTTGAGGAGCGCGTCGGTTCCTGCAGACGTCATAATACTGTATCTCGGACATTCTTTCATAAGGTTTCTTAGGCGGGCGGGCCCCTAATAACGGCTCGGCTGGTTTGTTCGAGGTTGTCTTCTCAAGCGCGTGGGCTGAAGAGCTTAGCCACAGGGTAGAAGTGACAAGCAAACTAGTTTAATGACGGTTCACGGTCACCATGCCATAGTACCGCAAATGGGCTCTGCGGCCCCTTTTATATGGCTTTTAACGTGCCCGGCCTAGACCCTTCGTACCCTGATAGCACTGTCATGTGTGTGTGCGCGTTGAGTTGTGTGGTCTGGAAGGCTGCAATCTGACGGGCTGCCTCCGTCCTTCTCAGGACTCCTTCTTGAAATGACCTTTATGGAACTCTAACAAATGTGAGAGATGCGAGTCGCATTTACAGTAGCCCGATACGCCTAGGTCGGGTACCGGGCCGTGTGAATGGCACGGGCCGATGGTACTCCCAGACAGTGGGACCCGATCCGCCTTCCGCCTTTTGCTGTTGTATAAGATTCTGGTCAAATGTTTCCTGCGGACCAAGGGGTATGGTGGTACGCCTAGGCGCGGGTTTTCGCTGCGACAGCCGCTTGAGGCCTCTCCCGCCTCCGGTCTTCTTAACTCCGTCTTGACACCGAATCCAGGTGGAGGAGGTGGAGGAGGAGGAGGAGGAGGAGGAGGAGGAGGAGGAGGAAGAGAGTGCGGTGGATGCAGCGCAAGTGTGATAGTTCGACCGTCGCGTCCGACGATGTCAACCGTATACTTCACGGCAAGGTAAGAGTAGGCACGGTGACTCATGCGTGAGTCAGTTTATAGTGATAGTAGACTTGCACAACATCTACCGCACTCTCCTCCCCCCGTCAAGAAGACCAAAGGCAGGAGAGGGCGCAGGTGGCTGGCATGGCCAGACCCGCACCAGCGCAAGTATACTATCGCTATAGATCAAGTCATACGCAAGTCACTCTCCCTGCGCACTCGCCCTTCTGTGGGGCACGCGGCGAACATTGTCGAAACCGGCAGTCGAACTGTTAGATTTAGCGTTGAGAAGATGAAGACGCGATCACTGGAACAAGAAATTTATTGGCCTGACATTTCGGATTCTCACTCGACTCCATCATCGGAGACGTTCGCAGATAAAGATGATGGTGGCACCAGGAGTTCTCACAATTGCAAGAACTGTTAATTGCAGTGCGCATACGGTCCCACGGCAGCCACGTGCTATAAATATTGCACTCCTGGTGCCACCATCACCTTTATCTGCGAATGTCTCTGATGATGGATTCAAGTGAGAATCCGAAACTTCCGGTCAATAAATTTCTTGTTCCAGTGATCGTATCTTCATCTTTTGAACTGCTAACTGGAACTCGCCTGTTCGCTTCTATCAGATTTAGCGTTGTCAGCCCCTGTGTCCGCGGTCACCTCCGGTCGTCCTGGCATATCATCGGGACAAGTTGTGTGAGAAAATAGAGAATGTCGTGGACGTTTCGATATCTGCCTTGCTGAAAATTAACTCACGCGCAGTCGCCTATACGCCCAAACTCGGACTCGGACAAGCGAGGATTTTAATCCGGATTCTTCGGTCATTGACAGTTAAGTCCAACTCTCCACCGCTGAGCCACGGACCCGTTGTCCGTAGCCCGATCGGCAAACGCCCCTCCAGCACAGTTTATATTCTCAATCACAACCGACAGGACAACGGGCCCGTGGCTCAGCGGTTGAGAGTTGGACTCAAAAACGTTCGATGATCAAAGGATGCGGGTGCGAATCCCAGACGACCGGAAACGGCTAATATGTCAGTGACAGGAATGGGGGTGGGAACCAAACTGTTGAGCCACTATCATACCAACCACCAACACCGCGGATTAAAAGGTGCCAAGTGGTGCCCTCGACTGTGCGCAACCAGGGCCATTGTCGCACCAATTGCGAACACCTGCGACAAGTATGAGAGTTGACAACTGTCGTCGGTTTGCAAGGGTGTGGCGGGTGAATAATGTAAACACTACACCGTCTGCGCATCCACTTCATTTATCTACTGCTGCTGCTGCTGTTGTTGTTGTCTTCCACATCGGGTTCGAGAGCAAAACCCAAAGCATGGGGCCGGCAAGGTCCTTGTTTCAACGGCCGGGTCTCCTTCGTCTCACCTAACTCCCGGAGTTTGTCCTTGGCGCCAGTCGCTCGTAAACAGCCAGGATGTTCAAGGACAGAGGAAACACTAGCTGGCAAGATTTCGCTGCTGAACCGAATAGGAAATTAGCAGTTCAATGTCAGCAACCACACATATGACACGACAACAGGACAATTCGCAGGTTTTGACGAAAAACCTACACGGCCATCTTCAAAGGCTACTAACGATCACAGATGCGCTGTAAGGGTGTAAATTGAGTTTAGCCTCGCCGCAACCAAGATAATTGCCCACGCCGAAAGCAAAGCAGGCCAAAAACTGATTGAGGCTTCGACTCCAGATGAGAACTCAGTCGATCGAAGTAATAATCTGGCGTCCGGGTGCGGCGTCTTGCACAGTGACCCCCCCCCCCCAGACCTGCGGGTCTGGCTGGTGATTGGCTAGTAACCCCTATAACTGTCACTTGTTCTATTGCTGCTTTTACCTCTGAAGATGGACTCCCGTACGGCCAGTCCTCTTCTTCCCTTCTCATACATACACCTGGAATTCAAGCATTCGCCTCCATTCGGGATAAAAAACAATAAGCCCCTTTTACGAATTCGACTTTGCGTGGTTCTACCGCCCCGAATTACAGTCAGCAATAGACCCCCTACAGTGGTTAGTGGGTTTTGAACAGGGAGACCGGCTAGACTGGGCAGATAAGCACCATGTGCAGGCAAGTAAGCCCTGTTGTGTTGCAATTGCCGACAGTTTGTACACGACAAGGTGCCCGAAACAATCCCCTAGGCAGGCTATTAAAACCGCTTTGCATGACAGCATAAGAACGATGGCACAACTTTGAATACAAGAGCGCCATAAAACGGACATTCATTTTTTTAACGGCGGGAAGCTAGTAGAGGTGCCACATCCTGTCTACAGCATATTCAAAGAGGAAGAAGGGGCTGGTGAAGTCCGAAGTCCTAAATGTCCAGTTTAGATGCAACCATTTTCGAAAATACTGTAATGTCTACTTTGCGTACTCATGGTTGCCTCCAACAATCTTTAGATGAATGGGTGCAAAAGAGTGCCTTGCAAGCAGGAAGATGAAAATCTTCTTTGATGGAAAATAGTTCGAAATACTTTGCTGCCGAGGGTTGTTAAACACCTTAATTACAGTACGGAGCCGCTTTGTCCTCGAGTCCTCGTAGGCAGTTGCAGGCGGTGAGCAGTGATAGTGCAAACTGCCAGCGCGGTCTCTAGACTGGCACAACGGAACCAGTAGGTTCCGCTCTACAAAGGCATAGTGAACGAACCGTCACCCCTACTCCACCACACCCCGCTGCCAATTAATACTGCGGATCGCGAGCAGCCCGAAAACGGGTACAATGCAGGACCTAACTCTCCGCTACCAAAAGCCCGGGTTATCCGAACTGGTAGTTGGGGCAAGACCGCCGGATGGTTAATAAGCAAGAAGTTGCCACCTCCGTCTTCCTTGTATCTGCTGGTATTTATTCCAAATACTTCATAAAATAGCGCAAAAACCGTCTTTTTCCCTTGGCTGGCACGGAAAACGCTCCAACGTCCCGCCAAAACTCAGGAAACAATGGGGGAAACCGCTAAAGATGCTAAAACTTAAAAAACCCACGAGAGGGTCTGACATGCTGGCATCTGCTCTATAAGCGGCGAAATGCTGGTCTTCGATTTGGAGCCCTTCCAGGCATATGCACTACTATCACGCAGGAAAAGAGCTAGTAAGATGATAATAACTGCCCGAAGTACAGTACGTGACCTATCTCATAAAAACTGATAACGGAAACTTATGTGAACATTTCGGATGTCTTAAATGTTGCGAATTTTGCTTGCTCATCCAGCCCCTTCGAGCTTATGTCCTTTTCTTGTGCAGAAATTGTGTACACGTAATTGTGAGCGAAAATAGACCTTGCTGCGTATTTGGGCAATTTCCTATGCTAATACAGTAGATGGGCTAACTCATGAAATGTCAACCAAAATTTCGAAATGCGTTCTCGTTTCGAAAAGATAAATTAAGTAGTGTTGTAAAACTAATCATGATGCAGCATAAATCTATAATGATCCGGTTACCTCCGGGTGTCGGCTTTCGAAAGAACTTATTTTCGGCTGCATGCAAGATCTATACTCTGCAAAAAATGACTACTTAAGTAGTATGCAATTTTCTCATTTACTTTCGATGCCCTTAAAGATTCAATTATATTTCATAGAAAACATGCATAAAAATATTCATTCTTTTATTTATTCGGTAGAAAATCACGTCTTCTTTCAATTTCATACTCAAAAAAGAGTATAACTCGGTTTTAAAAAAAGTTTCTAATTGTGAGATTTTTTAATACCGTTAAATGGCCGTTCATGAAACGTCATGTATCTGCATTTACGATTGTGGCTTGTAAAGTTAACAAATTTGCTCAAATCCACTGCTCAATTTTATGAACCTCATATGGTTTCCTCTTAACACCGTAGAGAAATGCATGGTTTTCCGTACACGGAAGATATACAGCTTGTAGTTTTGAAAACCTGAATGCAAGTGCAACAGCAGGTCGGGTTCAAAATTATTCGGGAATTAGAAAAGTTTTTAAAACCAAATTATACTCTTCTTTTGAGTATGCAGTTGGAAGAAGACGTGATTTTCTACCGAATAAGTAAAAGAATGAATATTTTTATGCATGTTTTCTATGAAATACAATGGAATTTTCAAGGGCATCGAAAGTAAATGAGAAAATTGCATACTACTTAAGTAGTCATTTTTTGCAGAGTATAGATCTTGCATGCAGCCGAAAATAAGTTCTTTCGAAAGCCGACACCCTGAGGTAACTGGATCATTATAGATGTATGCTGCATCATGATTAGTTTTACAACACTACCTAATTTATCTTTTCGAAACGAGAACGCATTTCGAAATTTTGGTTGACATTTCATGAGTTAGCACATCTACTGTACTTGTCCTAGACTTCGGTGGCGCATCTAAGCCTGTTTTTCATTGGAAGGAGTAGTTTGCGCTCGAGCGTTTTACTAAACAGTACTTGCTGGATTTGAAAATCGATTTTCTGTCTGATGATAACCGTGGGAAGAGAACTGATGTTTTATCGACTTTCCGAAGTCCTATTGGCAGATCTGTGCGATTTGGTGCTCTGAAATGCAGTGGTAACGCACACAGGCAATCCTTTGTTTAAGTGGGCCGAAATTGTTTTGCCGTTTGAAAAATTCCACTTGTTGTCACAGAAATGGCCACTGCTAAATAGTTATTTCCAGTTTTGAGCATATGAAGCACTACTTGTCGTGCAGTCTAGCTTCTGCACATACTCAATTCAGGAATGAGAAGAGCAAAACATTAACAGTTTCAGCAAAATATTAGTATTTATATGAGCACTCTGCTGTGCATTCATAGTCGTAGAAGGGAGTCTAAGAGCGAGCAAAAAAACAGTGCAGATGGCCACAATATAAACCATTTTTGACGTTTTCGGAATTTTATGCTTTTCAAAAAATCCGTACTTTGCAGCAACACAACACTGTCTTAAATATTTGTTTTACATTTCTAATTCCTTTAAAGTTGTACTAAGTTAATATAGATATTGGATCCATGCATTGGCATCGATTTGCGAGTAACTGGCAATCATTAGTAAATTTCGACACCTTTATTTGCTTTTTTCTACGAAGCAACGCTTTC